TGCGCTTTACACAATTGATGTGTGTATGGATTGGGATAACAGTTGTATGAGCCCCTAATAAAATGTTAAAAAAGAAAAAAAAGAAGAAAATGCTTTGAAAATGATGATGGCAACAAATGTACAAATGTGCTTGACACAATGGATGGATGTATGGATTGTAATAAGAGTTGTACGACCCCCCCCAATAAAATGATTTTTGTAAAAGAAAAAAAAATTATGCCTGCTGGTGTAATACATGTTACAAAAACAAAGAAAAATTGAGAATATTATAGTCTTAAATTGCCAATTGTTGAGCAACCTCAAAAGTAGGATATTTGAACCAAAGTTCGATGACTTCCAGATCCAGGACCTTGGAACAGCAGGCATCGGCTTCTTTTCACATGAATGTGTTTCAGATCTGCGTCGAAAGGTTTATTTGAGTTATTTTAACCTGCAACAGAATGTGTTTAAAGTCAAGTTTTGTTCATTCAGTAAGGTTTCTAAGTCAAATCCTTGTGATGTGACCTATGGAAAATGTACAACACAGAGAGAAATATAAATTCTAGGTAACCTACAGCACAACGTCCAGGCCACCGAGAGCTGAGTAGAAACGAAGTCAAAAGTGCATAATTAGCAACCTAATACTGGGTGTATATTCGGGGTCCATAAAAGTAATGTTAATCCTTTCCCACATAGTCTCATGCAATATATATCCCTACTTTTCTGTGGGGCCAAGAAGTCCCTGTAACATAACTTTGATTGCACATCTCACAAAACAGCTACCCGGGAGTTAAATAAATTTGATTGGACCCCAAATTAACCTGTATAAATATTAAAGTAGACATAACAATTGCTAGCATGGCTATTCCAAAATAAGTAATATGGATTGTTATTAAAAACATTAATTTTAAAACAAATGAGTGGGAACAAACACCTTTGGAGAGTGTCACTGGACCTGGGGTCTCAGGATCATTAACCTGGGACATCAAGGCAATTGGCATCATCTAACCCACAAACATAATGTTGTACTACTACATTGGTGAACAGCAACTGCAGCCTTAAAAGTATGCAGGTGGCCAGCTAAGCTACACTGAATGGTCTTTCCCCATCCAAAGCAAAGAAGAGAGAATAAAATAAAACAACACGTGGATGTAATCAGCCAAAAGGCTAATGAACCTCATGAACTACTCCTGTCTGCATGATACAGAGACCAGGTTGACCAGGTGGTACCAAATTACCATTGCTCACTGCTCTGAACAGGATCCTAATGGAGGTCCTGGCCAGAGGAGGAGAAATGTGGGGCAAAAAACAAGTAATAAATAAGATCAGGTGTAAGGATATGATAAAGTCTTAGGAAACCTTTAGACAAACATCCTTCAGGTTAACTTAATCCCATGATTCAACTTTCAGACAAATGATAGGCGATCCTATAAGGTGAGCAATAGCATCAGGTTTGTACATTAGAACAATCATCTACATTACATCGAAGAGGTATTTGCCTCCAGATAAAGTTCAGAAGGCAGGCAGGACTAGGAAAGAATGAGGCGTGGAAAGGGCACAGGGAGGAAGTGGGACAAGTGCTGCTACATTGTTGGGTCTGCTGTTGATGTTCCAAACTAGTACATGCATGCATGGTGGAATGGAAAACCAGGGGGGGAAAAGGAAAACAAAATCTATTGTTTCTGCAAACGTTCACCTTAATGACAATAAAATATAAAAATTGAGTAACAAAGCATCAAGTTAAACAAGTTGCTTTATACATGGTAGTAATTAATAGATAGACTTCTAGTTTTGTCACTTTTGAGGCCAGGGTCTATTTAGATACCACTCGCAAATCATTCTCACAGAATCATAACATGTGTGAGTAAAATAATAATTCTCTTTTTAAGTGGGTGTAAACAAAGGAGGAAAGCTCAGCTTTTGAAGGTACAAATTATCAATAAAGAGGGCAGAGATAGCAGAGCATATTCCTATTTTGGTCCAATAGAAATCATTAACTGAATTACCCGAAAATACTATTTCTGAGTCCAGAAACATCAACAGTAAGCTCTAAATTCTGCGGTCATATGAAACTTATGCAAATTACCTAAAACCGACTTCGTTTTACAAAATTAACAGTCACAGAAAGAGGAATTTAACTCTTACAGAAAACTGAATGCACCAAGGATGGAGTTGAAAAATATCAACTTCTGGTAGGGTGATGTCTATCGGCTTTTATTGGCTGTTCATATAAAAATAAGGGCTGGAAAAACTTACTTTGTAGATTATTAACCCAAATCCTGACATGCATTTTTATAAAATTTTCAAAAGATTAAACTTACCCTTACAATGTTCAATATAAATTTTACACCATTGGACTGAATTAGTTGTGTTCTGACTAACCAGGAAGAAATATACCTATGGAGATGATAAAGGAACAAGAGTTACTTTTTTAATATCTTTGAAAATCTTTGCAGCCACAACATAGATAAAGAGACTTGAATGTACAAAACCCACAACATTGACTTGGCTGTTAATATTGTGGGATACG